TGATTGGTGAACAAGGGTTTGGGCAAAATGGTACCCAAATGAAAACTGAGGGAATGAGAGGAGTGCCGCGCAGCTGTAGATGTGAGCGCTGGCGTTGCAGTACTGGCCAGGAGGGCCTGCTGCTACTTGGGGAAATTCTTCAGGTTGTGACGAAAAGGAATAGGAAGCTCAGCATAAAGAAAATAGACTGTGCACTTTGAATGTTGTCCTGACTCAATATTTTTGCCTGGTTATCGCCTAACTTAAGACAGTATTACTATCTTGCTCTCTATTCCATGACCTGCCATGTAGGCTAATCACCTGTTTTATCAGAAATGTATGCTGTGATAGTCAAGAATTTATACCAATGGTTTCTTTGAAGAAGCAATTTGCAAGAAACTCACAGTATGTCTCAGAAGTGCATGGAGATACACTCACAAAATCTGGTCATCAATCTTGTGATGTTTTATTTTTGGTTTAACAAGACTTCTCAGCTAGGTTTTATCCACCCACATTCAGCTTAAACTCACTCCTAGCAATACTTGGAGGCTCCTAAAAAGGTATGTATTGTTCAAAGGCTTGTGTTGAACGGTCATCTCAGATTTCAGGTCACTTGTTCTGATGGAGCAGTCACAAACAAACTGTTGCCTTAATTTAGGCTTAGTTTTCCTTTCTACTGGAAGCATTGGGACTGACTGGCACTTGTTTGGCACTCTTTGCTTTTGGGAATTGAGTGCTCTTTTTAGTTACAAACTAAAAGAGTAATTCTGTCTTGACCATGTGTTACAGACTACAGTCATAGACTATGTGAAGCCATCAGATCTCAAGAAGGACATGAATGAGACCTTTAAGGAGAAGTTCCCTCACATCAAGCTAACCCTCAGTAAAATAAGAAGGTATGTGACAAAGCTTGGTAAGGCTGCAATGTGTCTTACGTTTCAGTGCAATTGCTGCTCTGCATGAGGGGAAGCACTGCACTGATTGATCTTCCAGGAGCAGGGACCAGCAGAGGTACAGAATAAGTCAGATGATTGCTTTGATTAATGGGCAGAGTAAACAAGATAGGGGAGTGTACAAATGCACACCGGTCAGATGTCAAACATGGCACCGAATAGGATGAGGATGAGAGCTGGGCATGCACTGTAATGAAATACTCAGAAAAATAACACAAGAGAGTCTCTGAGCTCGTTACACTTAGCTTAAAAAGAGAGTGTGGAAAGAGAAATGCTGACTTTTGTGCCTTGTCCAGAGAGCACAGCCAGAAGCAAAACAAATGGTCAGTTTCACAGCAAAGTCGTAGTATTTCATCACTGTTTCCAGTGTAGCAGGCTAGACATACTGCTTCGTTGAAGCAGTGATAATTTCATTTGATTGAAGTGGCCAGAAGGATACCGAGTCGTGTTGCTCTGTAACCAGACAGTACTGCAGTACATGGAAAGACAGTCGGTTTGGATTTGACCGACCATAACCCCCGCAGCAAAGCTGCATTTAGAGCTCAAGCAATCACGTTCTTGCTACTAAATAAATTGTATGCACTTAGGACCTCTGATGAAATGTCGTTACTAAAGCTGTCAAAGCTTTTCAGTTGCTTTTATGGTTTGACACAACTGTCTGTTGGGGGCAGTGAAGGGGAAGGGTGAGGGCAAAATGTGCTGTGAAATGTGTCCCCAAAAAGATATCTGCCCAGTAAATTATGTTTTCCTTTTCCTCTCCATTTGACTAAGCAGGAATCTTTGAAAGGATGACTGTTGGGGTGAAATGAGAAATGCTTTAAAACACAGTTCACAGCATACTTGTCTGGTCTCTTTACTCAGCTTGAAGAGAGAAATGCGCAAGCTTGCTCAAGAAGAATGTGGCTTTGAAGAGCCCACAGTGGCCATGGCCTTTGTCTACTTTGAGAAGCTCGCTCTCAAGGGGAAGCTGAACAAGCAGAATAGAAAGCTTTGTGCTGGAGCCTGTGTTCTTCTAGCAGCCAAAATTGGCAGTGACCTCAGAAAACACGAAGTCAAGCATCTTATAGATGTACGTATCCATAGGTTTCCAGTGTTCCTTCTACATAAAGTGCCAGTGTGTGATCTACGCAAGCCCACTTGTCAGTGGTCATGCTCTCTTCCAGGTTTCCAGCTGTACAGCCAGCTAAATACTGGGGTTTTTTTATACATTTATGTGGAAGTGGTAGTGATCAATGTCACTGCAGAAGTGTGGGAAGCTTGTTTAATGTGATTGAAGACCCTGGTGTCGGATACTGTGAGGTCTTAGAGGTATTTGACCACCATTCTGTCAATACAAGTCAAAACTTAACCCTCAGGAAATTCATTTTGCTTTTAGTGATGTTTTCAAGAATGTCAATAAGGACTCCCCTTTGAGAGGTAAATGCAGATACTGATTTTTGAGGGAGTCTAATAGACTACTAAGTTTGTATTTCTTTCATCAAGTCAAGCAGGGCAGAGGTTTAATGACAGCAGGACGCATGTTTTGAATAATGTCATCAGTAATAAAGTACTAGAAAGTCAAATCCTCATTCACAAAGACTGGGGTTTTTTATTGTATTTTCTTCCCTTGGCTGTCGTTGCAGAAACTGGAAGAGAAGTTCCGGCTGAACAGGCGAGAGCTGATTGCCTTTGAGTTCCCGGTGCTGGTGGCCTTGGAGTTTGCTCTCCACCTCCCCGAGCACGAAGTGATGCCACACTACAGACGCCTGGTGCAGAACTCCTAGCACTGGCTGCCCTGCGGGGAAGGGGCTCCTGACTGTTCCCGCTTGGCTCTCCTGAGCCGCAGTTACTACTGGAAATGCAAAATCAGACTCCTTACACCTCACTCACTCGCTCTCTCCCCAGAACAGTTTTTTCCGGCAACGTATAGGAAACACTGCGTCGATGTAAGACTCTCGGCTTTGACCAATTTACATGTCGTTACTTTCTCAAAGCAGGTGAAGACTGAGCTGTTGGTAAATGGTTAACGTTCTGAAACTGGGTGGCGACTGACCCTACCTGTAGGGACTACGGCTATAAAAGTAGGCAAAAATTAGAAGGGCAGCCTCCATGACCACCCCTCTCTCCATCACACAAACCCTGGAAGCCCACGTGAGTGCATTCTCATAGCGCTTTTTCTACAGACCTGCTGCAACTTCCAAGAGGACTTCTTACCGTTGTGAAAAAGCTTTTAAAGAGGATATCTTCACTGTGTCAAAAAGAATGTGCCAATCTATTTTTGTATCAGCAATTGAAAGTGCACTTTTTTCTGTGGGGTGTTTGTGTGTGTATCTGTGTGTGTGTGCGTGTGCGACACCGAGCTGATCTCAGTCCAGGTGGTTGGCTTAGCTGTTTCCGAGGGTATCAGTTACTGATGGCGAAGATCAAGGTGACCTTACGTGTTTACTTCTTGTAAAACATAACTACTGGAAAAACTGGTAAATGGGATCATTTTTGGACACTTGGTTGTTTTTTTTTATTCTCTGATCTTTCCAACATTGTACCTTCAAAAGGATTACACTACTACGAGAGAAGGATCAGCAACTGACCTTAAGTTTTCAGTCATGTCTGTGATAAAGATGAAAGCATTAGTATGAGATTTCCATGTCATGTTTTTTAAAAATATCTTGTGTTAAGCCACATGCATATTTTTAACCTTCGCACTTTTCCCACTGTGGAGATGGTTAGACTTGCACTCTGTAGTGTTGTATTTCTGTGCTCTATGTTAGAGTGCGTAATAAGCACATTTATTGTGCTCTATCTTAAAACAGTGTTTTATTAAAAAAAAAAAAAAAAGAGTAGGGCTCAGCAGTATAACAGGTGTCTTAAGGCTCCAACAGCAGGGCCATCAGCTATTAACGTTTTGGTTTTTAACTAGAATTGACTGTGCAAAACCTATAATCAGTGCCCATTGAAGTCAGAGGTCCAGTTCCTTTAGACATTTCCGTACTGGAGTTTTACAGTAAAACTTCTTGCAGCTTCCCTGGTTCTGACTGGACACCCAGAAGGCTGGAGGCTTTCATCCGAGCTCCCCAATGCTACATACACAACTAAGCTAGCACCATGCTTATGGACATCGTTCAATCACTGTTATCCTGTGGGATTACACCCCTGTCCAATCTTCTCCTGTGCTGGTTCACTTAACAAGCCTTGCCCTCGACATACCCCACGTGGATCCGGTAAAGTCAAATGCTTACATTTATGGTATTTGTATGAAATAAATAATAATCTCAACTGTGAGATTTTTAGCTGAAGCCTTACCTCACTAAGTTTGGGAGTGCTTGCTCAAGAGTATGGAAAGGGCTTGTGAGCAGAATGTCGAGAAGTGGGACATACCAGAGGATGTAAACACACTAATGCTTACTTTCTTTCGCTTTTACTTTAATCAATTTTATTATTTCCTTCAGTTAGGCCAGGAAACATCCAGTTTCTTTACCAGCTTTGACTCCTTTAAATTCTAGTATGAAAAACGCCTGCGTATGATTGTTCTGTAGGATCTGGAAAGGTTACACATGTTGGGACAAATGGGAATTTGTTTGATGCTGTTGCTCTCCCTCCATTTTAAGGGGGAGGGTGACTGCTAGCTTACAGTTATTATTAATACTTACCTAATTATTGATACAGATACATTCCAACGGGATTGGGGAGGAGGGGGTAAAGAGAAAAGCGTGCACTTAACCTCCCCGGTGCAACGCCCCACGCCGCTGCAACCCACACATCACTCGGCCGGCTGCAGAGCAAGGGGAAGAGGGGCCCTAGCTCCCTCCTCCTCCTCTTCCTCCTCTTCCCGGCCCCCACGCAGCCAGGGAACAGAGAAGCCAAGAGCCTGGAGCATGACTAGCACCTATGGCCACCCACCCGCTTTATTCACCCCAAAAAAAGGCGGTGTAGTGTTGACCTACAAGCCAAAATGATCTCTGGGTCTGCTAGGAGGGCCTCCATCCTTGGCTGCATCCCTTCCCACCAAAATCGTGTATATACATTCAAGATTTGCTTCTGATTACAGAGATCTGTTTCTAATATTGACCACTCAAGGCTAAGCAGAAGCTTTACCTTTCCGTAAAGGCTTCTACCTTTAGCTTTTGAGTCTGATTTTTTTTTTTAATGTTGCTTTATAGTATTGCAGGGAAAAAGCAAATTGTGATTGCGAGATGCAGACTAAAGAATGACAGTCTTACAGTAGTCTTTAGAGACACTATTGAATCACGCTGTCACATCTTTTGTCTTCTGTGCTGCTACCCAGCCCTGATCTACAGTTTACACAGATTTCTGGGATGAAATCTGATTGCTGGAGACTTTCTGCTTTTCGTTGTTGTTCTTCTTGTTGTTGTTTTGGGGGCGGAAAAGGGTTTGGGAGTGATGTTCAGTTACAGTTTGAATGTGGAATAAACACTTAAGGTGGTGATGATGTTGCACTATTCACGTAGGAACATATATAAAGCCATATGATGCTAGATGTCAGAGCACAAAGCTTGGTCAGTACAACTATGGTTAGGACAACGGGCAGGATTTGCCCCCTTTTTCTCCCCAACCCTGGGAAAATTCAGGCTGAAGTGGTAGAGGAAATCTGTACCAAACGAAAAAACATGCTGATTGTTTGCCTTTGTCTTACATGGTAATGAGTGTTGATTTACAAATGATTTTTAGGTTCAAGCTTAAGTAGTTTGAGAAAATAATCCATTCCATATCACTTGTTCTGTTCTGAAAGTATATACTGTACACTCTACCATGCAGAGTTTATTCCTTTTCTAAAAAAATTAATAAAAGTTTAAAAAAATTGAAAAACCCAGACTCTTTTCCACCAGTGCCAGTATGTAAAATTACTGCGTTCTCTCAGCTGTATGTGTCAAATGGTTTTGGTTTTGTCTTCCTCTGAAACATAAAGCTGCTTATTAATAAGCCAATGGTGGGATTGCCCAAGGGCCCTCACCATCTCCTGGCATTTCCTCGCAGAGCCCTCACTTCCAGGATCTTTATTCCAGCCAAGATTTTAATCTTCTTCCCAGACCATTGTTTTGAGATTGGTTGGTTGGGGTTTTTTTAAGCCCTTCTTTTTGGCACCAGCCCCTCCTCCTGGAGCTGCCAGACCCTGGTTCTCCCAGCCCAAACCATACGTGTGCAGAAGGATGAGGCAGAAGCAGGCTCCTCAGCATTGCTTGTATCTCACAACCCCTTGTTCACTGCAGAATTTGGGATGCACCGCTTTGGTTTAGTCAGGTGGTAGTAAAATTTGCAACTGGCTCTGTTCCGGTTGTAGTTCACAAGCAGCCCCTTCTGCTTGGGAGGCTGAAAGTTCAGTTTTAGACGTTCATGTGCGCACACACCCCATTATCCACCACCTGCTGGCATTCAAGCTATTTTTTTTCCACCTATGACACTCCCTAAATCTAACACCTAGCTAGGTGGTCTCACCAAACACCCATTTATTGTGCAGTTTCTTTCCACATTAATGTTATGGGGAAGGTTTGGCTCCCTACCTCTATCCATCACTACCTGGGTTCTCTAGAGCCCCTCAGCTGTAAATCGTATTTGTGGCAATGCGAGCATTACCTGGATTTACACAGACTCCAGAATGTACAGATACACAGAAAAATGCTTTATTGCTCTACAACTATTCGCTAGCAGGCAATGGTGGGTTAGTTTGTAATGTCTTTAAATTATTTGATTTCTGCTAGTTGCTCCAGCCTCCCAAAATACAAAGCCCACAGCATAAGCCTTCCCTAGAAGCAGTGAGGAGCAGTTTGTTAGGAGATGGTAACACCTTCCCACGATGCTAAAGGATTTTGGCATCAGGCCCCACATTAAACATTAAAAAAAACTGTAAAAGTAGTTTATTGAGGTGAGAGAATGAGAAATCACAGCAGCAATGCCAGCATCACTAACTAAGACTGACATCTGTCCCAAGTTGCACCTTTGGGGAGGGGAGGAAGGAGTGTGGGAGGCAGATTTGAACTTAAATTGTTCATTTTCCACCGTAAACTTTGTAGTAAGGGGGAGGGGGGAGATGAGGAAGAAGAAACTCCAGGTGGATCCCTTCAAAGAGGCAAAAAGACCTTTCTGAAATCCTAAACCTTGTTCCTTCCGCGTTCACTGTGAGCCTGTACAGCAAAAGCCTCCCTGCCTCAGCCTGAGGCCTGCTGCTCCAGCTGAATTCAGACCTCTGAAAGCTTTCCAGTCACTATAAAAGAAAAAAACCCTTGCCCAGAGCCCAGCAGCAAATACCAGGACCTACAGTGAGAGGAGAAGCAATGCTTACAGTGCACTGCTGGTAAAAAGCAGGAACTGTGATCCTGGAAAATGGCCTGCACACCCTTAAAGCAAGGCAAGGGGGACCAAGATGTTGCTGAAGTTGCTGCTGACTTGAGCAGCAAATGCTTCCTTCCCTTAGCAAGAGCTAAATACTGGCTACCAGCATAAGTTAATTGTCCCACTCTATGCATGCCTCTAGCCCGTTATACACCCCCTTTCCACAATCTCGCTGAGCAGCATCTTGAACCAGCTAAGACCCTTGCCTTTGCTACATTGTTTAGACAGAGGCTCCAGGACTTAATTCCTAAAATCAGAAGGCAGCTTCCAGTTTGCGGTCAAATTTCATTGATGAGTAATGTATAACTTTTTGAACTCGTGTCAGTATTTCATCTAACTTGAAACTGAAATCTGGGAACTCTGGGATGGTGGGGCCCTCAGGAAGAAGCTGTGCAAGGCAGGTTTTGAGAGCTACTGACATGAGGCCTAAACTGCTCTTATTTTCAAGTCACCAGCAGCCATGAGCTAGCCTTTGTACTCTTCTTTGCTTCCAAACATACAGACATGAGGGGCACATTTCCCTCTTCCCCATTGCTTCCCTCTGCCAACCCCTGGAAGGTTTTAACTTTGAGAGTTGACTGGGAAAGAGAGAAGATGAAGAGGCAGAAGGGAGAATATAAACCCTGGTTTATTTACAAACCAGTATTAACTTCTCTGTGTACATAAACAGACTGGTTTATCAGGAGTGGATTCTGATCATTGATTTAAGAGAGAGAATATTGGGATTTTTCTTTCCATTTTTTTAGGCTGGGCTTTAGGCCAACTGTTCTTCAGCACCTGTAGAGGCTGGAGCCTTACAGCAGGGAAAGGTCTGGAGATATCTTGAGTAACCGCAAGCCACCCATTTCTCCTTTGTTGCCACACCAATTTTTAACGTTGCCCATGCAGTTGCATTGTGCTGGGTTTTGGCAAAGGCCAAAGGCGTTGTGTTGCAGCACGAGAATGGCAGTCACAGCACTGGGTTTTAGTCTCTCACACCAGAAAACAAAAGGGTCCCTATTCTGGATCCTAAATTTCTGCCCATCTGTTCGCATATTAGGAACCCCTGGGAGTACACAGGTCTCAGATTTTTCTCCTCTCACACTTAGTCAGC